CCCCAAAACCCCAAAACCCCAAAACCCCAAAACCCCAAAACCCCAAAACCCCGGAGACTTTTAAGCTGATTGAAACTTTGAGTTGTAAAGGAGAAAAAAATTACTGTGCAAGCTAAGGAAAGATCTTTTACTATATAGAAATCGATTTTGGATAGTATACTTTTTTGGAAAGCTTGGATGTGATTAGTAGAAGTGCTAGAATGAAGGATTTATTGGTAGATTATGATGGTTTTATGTGAGAAAGGAACATTTTTTGGGTAGATTCATTGATGTGAAATGTTGGCAATGAAGAGTTTGATTTTAAAATTTGTAGAACTTGTTAATATAACCTCAGAGTCATCTCAAAACTTGCTAATAATAACTTATTGACTCACTAAGCAATATAATATCTTATTAGCTTATTTTTCGCTTTCTACTACAAAAATTTTTCTTTACCTCCAAAAATTCAAAATTCCATGAAGCTTGCTACCATAAGAATACTTTCTACGACCATTATCTCCACTCTCTGCCCACTAATACTACTCAAGGGCAGCCGCTTGCCCAATACCCCTCCACTGACCCAAGCCTGGGTTCATGAATACTACTTCCCCAAAAGGCAGGAAGAACCAATACTAATTATTCACCACCAAAACATCTCTTCATTAAAGCCTTCAGAACAAACCTTGCCACTAGCTTACAGATTTTGTAGTGGGATTCACCCATGCTGAAGTCTGGGCAGGCCGAAAGTAGGAAAGGAAACCTCCAAGCAAGCCTGAAAGCCGCTGGAACCCTCCCTGAAGCCGTCCTGAGGGGTTAAATGGAGGAAAAATAGGTTTAGGATGAGAGGTTTTTCCAAGATGGGCCGGAAATGGCCTCCGAATCCCTCGTCAGCTTTATTAACTGAGCAAAAAGATGAGAATAAGAGGGCTTAATGCTCTTGATGGGTCGTTTAATGCCTAAAGTTGATGGAGCAATTGAAGATTACTGTTGGCAAGCTAGTTTACCATAAAAAATATTCAGACTCTCGTAAACTAAGATTCACTCCATTAGTATTAATACTACTATCAAGGGATTCGCAAATAAATTTCAGAATCATGCTCTGTTTATTTAGTGAGGCAAAAATTAGCATCTGCCTTGTCTCTAACAGCAGAAATCATCTATCGCAATCAGAAACGGGAATAGGACCTTCTAAGCCGCTTGGAGAGTTCTCCCACAAAAACCTGATCTGGCCTCATGAATGAATCTGACACTGAGGAAAATATCCAATTTTTATTTCTTCAATAATGAGTATTCTCAAGTAATCGCTGCAAATACGATTCAGAACAAGTTAACAGAAGAAGCGGGCTATCAAAAAGAGTTCTGGTGCTTACAGAAAGCTACTAAGTATTCCTCAGAGCGCCTCTCCCAAATTTGAATATTACATCGCTGTTGTGTAGACCAAGTCTATTCCTAAACAGCTCTTCTAAAACCTAAATTATTCTAAAAGTAATTGTCCGTTCCCAAGTGGGTAAAACAAAGAGTACTAGCTTCTCAAGGTAAAATAAAAGGAGGAAAATTTGCTGCCAGATAGGATGCTTGGTCTAACTCTACAGACTGTTTCGCCACGCAACATCGCATTGGAAAAGTCATGAATGTAGACCCGAATCCTTTTAGATAAAATCCTGACAATTCCTTGCCCAGATCTTGCACTGAGTGAAAGATCTGGGTGAAGATTTACCCCAAGCCCAAGTAATACGGATTAATATCGAAATCTATTGTTAGAAAGATACTTATTAGACCACAAAAAGGAAGTAGCCTCCTTTATAGCGGAGGCTGCTTGCGCTTTATGTTAAAAGTTCGGCCTTAAAAGCTCTTCAAGACCCTTCAGTAAAAACCTGGGTCAAAAAGAGCCAATAGAGGAAGAACGAAAGATTTAAGCAGCAACTTCAGACTGGGCCGAGTCCTGAGCCGCAGCGTATCTACAGATTTGAGCAAATGAATGTCTCAAGTCCTTCTCCACCGACTGAATGAATGTATACAAAGATTTTCAGTAGGTGTTATAGTAACTCTGGTCAATATTAAAGTCGAAATCCATCATCTTGATGAACAAGGCTTCCATCTTATTGTAGGTGCGGACATCCATCCCTGTTAGCTGTCACCAGCTCTTGTTCGAGAAGTAGAAGTCATCATGCATCTTAGCCGTAGCACTCACGCTGACCACCAAAAGCCTATGTAAATTAAGAAATGATGTCAAGAAGATAATCTTACCTCTGAATGTTGTCCTGCGTAATCATAAATGAAGGATTTCTGACTGAGAAACGGTCTATTATGATCAGAGCACTGATCAAGCAAGGATTCGTCTGCCCTAACACTGAAGTTATTTGATAAACAGTGTCAAAGAAGTCAAATTTAGTGATCTCAGGGTTCTCAAAGATCTTTGATTCATCAAGTTTCTCCTCTATACCAAAAATGTAAGTAAATGGGACAGAAATCTTCCTTACCCATGACAGTATCCGTGTCGGCAGACTCAGCCATCTTTTGATGGTTCCTAGCAATGATTTGCTCGAAGAGAACTGTGATAATGTTGGCCATATGGTTAAAATCATCAGGCATCATTTTTCCAAATAAGTTAAAAATTAAATAATATAAAAATTTACATCAAAAACAGGCTCCTATATAGTATTTTCAGAGAGAAAGATCCTTGACAAAAATCAGAGTTATTGCCTCAAAGTCTATAGCTCTCTCAAAAGCTTCCTCATAACCAATTTTGGGACTCTAAAACTCTCTGGATGGGTATTTTTCCGCACGATTCTTAACAAGTTTTCGACCTGAAAGAGGCTACAATAAAGAACTGTGATAAACATGGAGAATTTTTGGTCTAACATCTATCAGACCTTATTACTATGTGTAGATAGCTTGCATTAACCTCTCAAGAACGAAAGATATAGCCGCCTCATAACCTAAAGGAGACTTTACCATACCCTTATTTCGGTGATGGAAGGCAGTAATTTTGCATAATTCCAAAAGATCTCTTAATTTCACTTCCTTGAGAAATTTTCAGAGATCATCGCTAAATGAATGATTTCTTAAAATTCCAAATATCTAAAATTTTACCTTCTTGACACTTTTATCCATCCTGTATCTTTCCAAACTGAGTCGATAATTTAAGTTTGAAAATATTCCAGAGCAGTTGAAGGTCCCTGAAACTTCATGGTCACCACAAATCGCACTAATTTTATGAAATTTAACATATTTATAACAACATGGTTCCTCCGTCAGACTCAATCATCTATGTAGAACGATGTAGCCCAGACAGATAAGGGAGCATTCTCTGAAGATGGCTATAAATTTGCTTCTTACCCTAAACTAACCACTCAGAATCTCTGAACTAAAAGTGATGCAATGAATAGTTTAAATCTTCCCACATAAAGGCCAGCCATTGGCTGGCCTTTATGTCAAGCCCTTCCTTTTCATGTCCACTTCTTTTTCCAGATTAGTATTTTTGGGTGGAACAAATAAGCCAAAAATTTCCTAAAAGCATGCTTCATGTAATTTTATCAAACTTACATTCAAAACTTTGTTTTTAGGAATGATAGAGGTACTTTCTCTGAAGAAAAAGTACCCCATCTAGTCAAAAGTTAAATTTTATTCTTTTGAACAACACTAGATTATCAGCAAAGATCTTCTGATCATGAACTCTGAAGGTCCTTCCAGGACCTTCAGAGTTCATGATTTGATAACCTTATGAAAAATTGGGGCTTAGAGCAAAATTAGTTCAGAATTTATGATCAAAAACCCAATTTGAGAGCAGTTTTAGGGTCACAAAAATTATCCTCCAAGAGGAAATTTGGGTTTATTAGAAACAAATCAGTTTAGGTATGTTATATAATTCACCTGGTTTCTAGTTATGGGCCAGAAATTCATTCTCGAGGAAAACAAACCCGTAAAGAACTTCTGATGTGAATTGTTTCCAAATATTATGAAAAATATGATAACTTTCGGGCTTGAGGTGTAAAGGATTCATATTTATATTATTAGAAACATTTATCAAATTTAGCTAAACTTTTCGGGAAATCGCTCCTGAAAGAAATCAACCTCTATAGCTTTGGCTATAGCTCCTATTTGAACCAAACGGAGGAGTCTTTTCTTTTGTTGGTATCAATAAGACCGAATGTGGGGTGGTATATCAAGGCCATTCTCATTTCAACCAGCGACACTGGGCCTTCCTCTGCCCGAAAAAATTCCTTCGTCAATTGATTTTTAGCACAGATTTCTCTGATTTCGTTGAAAAATTATCCAGAAATTTTTGGAAGAAGTCATCTTTTCATAAAAATTAAAGAAATTTTCGGTGACAGTCGTCTTAATTCTAAAAGAAGGGTCTAACAAACTCATTTTGCATTCGAGAGAGTGGCTGGGACGTCTATTTTTAAAAGCTAATCACCCAAAAATAGCCTCGCTACTTTCCCCAACCATGGCCTAACGGCTATGCATTGGTCGATACAGTGTGCAGAAGTAACAAATGAGGCTTGGACCACCGAAGTTCCTGGCTTTGTACATTTTCCGTGAAATTTTTGTACCTTGTGAGGAACTCTACTACCTCATTTGTTCATCCAACTAATAAATTCTGAAGCATGAAATATAAAGAAATCTTTTGAATTTCCTCCATTTCTTAGGCTGGTGAAAATTATTTCACTTAAAATTTAGCAGTAGCTTCCAAGGACGACCCCAAGTATTAGTCTTTTCAACCTAGGAGGCTGCTGGCTGCAGAGGTATATCTACGTAACTACATCGCTACAAATTCTATAATCTTGAAAATGATTATTTCTACAGAGATACTAGTAAAACTACAATTTTCCTGTATCTTTTGGCCCTTAATTACAGAAATTCTTTTGATAATTGATGCGAAATTGGACTGACTTCGATGACATCGAAGGGAAAAATTTTAAGAAATTTATAACTCCAGAGGTAGTCTGAACCCCTTGTTCATTGTTCAGGTGGATACATCCCGTGATGAAGATCAAAAGTGTGTCATGATGGCTTCCTTAAGACTGATGATAGGGGAACTAAGACCTTGACTGTCGGATTAAGATCATTTGCTCTAGATTTTCAGGAAATTTGGTACTCAGCCAATAATCGAACTATTGTTCAAATTTTATTGATAATCAGCTTCTATTGATATTAATTAACTAATCTAAGAACGGCTAGTAAAGGAGCTAAGAAGTTATCTCGCCCAGGAAATAATCAGCGAATCTCTCACAAATATTCCATTGAGAGGTCTAAAACCTCTGATAAGATTGGAACATAAATCTACCAAGATGTAGGCTAAAACAGATATCATTGATCGATACCTGTTTTATAGCTCTATGCATATCAGTGAGATGTTTAGGTATCACCCTTTGTTCGTTTTACACACAGTTGTACTCTAACTTGTAACGGTAAAAGTATTAACAGGAAGCATGGGCGATGATAAAGGTTACCAGACATACCGCCAGATGCTGTAGAATACAATAGCAAATATTTCAATAACATACTAGGCATTTAGTAAAGGAACTGCAAAATTAGTTGACATTTTTCCTATTTTCAGGTTTATTCAATAGCTGTCAACTCACACGGGGTTTTGGGGTTTTGGGGTTTTGGGGTTTTGGGGTTTTGGGGTTTTGGGG